ACAGTACCTTGAAAATTGGTCCACATAGAAACTTTTTCTTTAAGATTACTTGAAGGGACTTCAGATTTCTTCAATGTGTATTTAGAGTAGCTTCTAGTAAGAATGGGAGGAAAGTGCCACCAAAAAATACTGATTTGAAAACGATAAAGTTTTCACAGGACTTTGAGGATCATGTGGATTTACACCACAAGAATCGGAGTATAATCTCTATCTATTTCTTGTAGTCCTACTCCTTAAGAAAGCTTTGGAAATATCCAGCCGTGTATGCATATTGGGTTTGTGTCGAAATTTCATAACACGTCCCAAGCTTCTCATTTATGTGAGGGTCCGGTCATCAGACAGTCATTAGACTTGCTACATCTTACTTTGCACGTGCCTGCAATATATACAACACGTATGGAGTGGTTTCAGAATCATTTCTGACCCATGTGCTGAGATAATGAGCTTCTGTCTTCACTTATCTTCGACTAATTTATCCTCAATAAAATTAATTGTCCAACTGTTCTTGGTAATATTACATAAACAGTCAGTATGCTCTGGATTCTTCCTGAGCTCGTGTACTTGTGGCTCTCATCTGTCCGAGAGCCAAGCGATAATTGCTAAGGCAGATGTGGTGCTGTTAATTTCCAAGGTAATCTAGACCCAATACTGTCCTTCTTTATATTTCGACAGTGTCCAAATACAAGTGGACCCCGGTTAAACGATATTTTTTACACTCACATAAGTATTTCCGGTGCCAGTACTGAACGAATTTATATTCCCATAAGAATATAGTGAAGTAAATTATTCCTTCAGAACCCCCAAACAACACGACAAACGCACTTACATAAATACACTTACATAATTGGTCGTCATTCGGAGGTAATCGTTATGCGGGGGTCCACTGTATTGGTTATAAGTCTGAGACTCTTGTGGGCTTGGTTTATTTACATCAATACCTATCGCATCTAAATCCCACAACAAATCAACTGGTTCATTCATTTCTTCCAGTAATGATAATTTTTTTGCTGTGGAACATGATGCAGTGGTTTTTCTCTTCTCGTAACTAGTACATTTTCGCACATAATCAACATCAGCTTCATTTCCCACTTTGAGAGGAATGGGACCGCATATCATGTGGCCTCCTGCTGTTTTCAGCAAGTGAACATCATATTTACTTACTATATTTTGCACAAAACAGTGATAATAATCACTTCCAATGATTAAATCAATTGGACTAATTGTGATGAATTGTTTGAAAAACCGACAAGTTGAAGATTGAGACTTTACTATGCAGCATATGGGAATCTTTATTCAGGGAAACGTTATTCGCCACAATCTTGTAAATGTACAGCATAGGGCCGTAGACGTGGCTTTTATATACTGTCGTGAGGTGAGGTTGAAGCAGGCGGAGGCGGGGTCATAGTGGAAACCATCCACTAGTCTGAAGTAAGGTCATCGTCCAAAGGTTTGACAAGTGTTGAAAGAACTCTTGTAACAAGATCCTATGATCTGCATGATCCTGCAGCAAGAATTCTTCAACCCTTGTACAACCCTTTGGACAGAAGACCTACTTCGAATATATAATATTTATAAAACAGGTGGATGGTACCACAATGACCCCGCCTCCGCCTGCTTCACCTCACCTCACTACAGTATATAAAGCCACTCAACGGCCCTATGCTGTAGCATATCTACAAGATTGATGGACCTGAACACATCGACTCCAGGCTGAGGGACTGATTACCTCATACTCCTCCTCTCCTTACGCCTTTCTCTTTGTATTGGACTGATGAAGCCACTGTGTGGCGAAACGTTTCCTGAATAAAGATTCCCATATGCTGCATAAGTGTCTCAATCTTCAACTTGTCGTTTTTTCAAACCATTCATCACAACTGTCAGACACTGCAGCATCATGGGATCTTGTTACAAAGAATTCTTCAACACTTGTTCAACCTTTGGACGAAGACCTACTTCGACTAGTGGATGGTTCCACTATGACCCCGCCTCCGCCTGCTTCACCTCACCTCACTACAGTATATAAGCCACGTCTACGGCCCTATGCTGTACATTCTACAAGATTGATGGACTGAACACATCGACTCCAGGCTGAGGGACTGATTACCTCATACTCCTCCTCTCCTTACGCCTTTCTCTTTGTATTGGACTGATGAAGCCACTGTGTGGCGAAACGTTTCCTGAATAAAGATTCCCATATGCTGCATAAGTGTCTCAATCTTGGACTAATTGTGTCCGTCTGTATGTCAGGACAGGCTAACTTGACCTTAGCTGATTTCAGTGCTGCAACTGCTTCTTTTAATCCCTGGATCTGCACAGACTTAGGCAAATCATCTACTACCACAGCTTCTACTGTCTTTTTCCTGTTTCCTAGACCAACAGTGATTCTGGCTAGGTCATATGTCTGTTTACTAGAATTGTGGAAAAAAACAGCTATATCTAACTGTATTTTGGCATAGGGTTGTTTATTCAGTTTCTGCAACACTGTTCTTATGAAGGACCTTTGTGAGCCTTGATCAAATAGTGTTAGCACATTGGTTTTGTGTAATTTATTAGATAACTCAACTCGAGCTATCAGGAGAGCAGTTGCTTTAAACTTATCTCTCACATTTAATGCTGTTGCTTGTTGACTTCCTGATTCTGTGGAAGTCTGCTGCTGTTCAGCAAAAGTATTTGGGCATAATGCTGTATGATGCATACCCTTGCATTTAAAACACTTCTTCAGTGAGCATTTACCTCCCTTGTGTTCACCTAAACACTTGATGCACCTTTTCAGCTGATGAACACGTTGTTTACGTGCCTCCATTGATGTGTATTGAATACAATACTGTGCCCAATGTGTTCCATCACAAAGTACACATTTTGGAGTACGTTTATGTATGACAGTTTGTTTACTGTCTGTTGTATTCACAGCTTGATAAATGCCTATATGGGATTTCCCATTCTGTGGTTTAGTGGGAGTAGGTATACTCTTTTTATACTGAGTTGAAGGTTTGTTATCCACTGGATTTGTGGATTCTTCATCTTGTCTCGTTGCTTGCATGCATGAAACTATTGTTTGTAAACCATTGCTAATTTCTTCACAAGTGAAATAGCGTTTATTGAACATAATATTTAATCGTTCAATAGTTTGTGGTGACAACTTATCTTGTACAATACCACTGATAAACCAATCACATTGTCTTAGGTCATATTTAGCACCTAGAGATCTGAGACTATTGTCTAATGTGATTCTAAATGCCTGTAAGTCTGAAAAACAATGTTTGGGTGGCTTCAAGCTTGATATTAAGACTGCATGTCTAACTCTAGCCTTGTCAGCATCGAAGTAATTGTCTGCTAAGACACGTAAGGCTATTTGTTAATTACCTTTAACCACCGGAAATGACTTAATCAGTTCATAGGGTTCTCCCTTCACAAGACATTTAAGATAATTGAACTTAGCAATCTCATCTATGTCAGTTCGTGAATTTACTATGGATTGAAAACAACTAATGAATTCTTCATAATTATGACCTTGGAAAATAGGTAATGACAATGTAGGTAAGCTTGGTAATGGACACTTGTTGTTGTTCTTGGTCAGCACTTTCGAGATTGGAGCAGTGGATGCCGGGTGCCATCCCCCGTTTTCTTGTTGGGTGAGTCCCGCTCCCCTTTTCTTTGGGTGAAAGCGGGGGACGCCCTTTTTTTTTTGGGGTCCCTTTTCTGTGATTGATCTGGGGGGACCATTTTTAATAC